GTTCTGAGCCTCGAGCCTCGGAGCCACTGTCACAGCGAATGCCTGGAGTGCTGATCTCCTGGGGGCGTGGGAAGCCAGTCTGGGCTCCGGGGGGACACTTCAGGCCTAAAAGCCACACGTGACATGGTTTTCTCCCCTTCCCTTCACCAGCCTCTCATCCACGTCTTCGCAAAGAACCTGGTGACCTTTGTGTCTCAAGAAGCCGGAAACAGAGCCGTCCTCCTGGCCATGGCCATGAAGGACCGGAGCGTGGAGGGGCTGCGGGCCTTGAAGGAGGTGATCCAGACCTGCCAGGTGTGGTGACCTGGACTTGCAGCCACACCTGCGGCTCCACAGAGCCGGGGGGAAGGCAGGGACTCGCTGGGAGCCCCCCCTGCGCCCTGGAAGCCGAGGAGAGGAGAGGAGCGTGTCTCCCGCAGACTCCTGTTGGCCTCTGACCCCGACCTTGGACGGAGGGAGTGCGGGAGTGCGTGTGGGAGAGTCGGGATGGTCTCACCAGGGCCCAGTGGGTTTGAGAATTGAAGAGTCCTGGCCCTCAATGTGTGGTACCGGCAAGTGGAGGGAATTGCTTTTGTATTAAAAACAAGTGCAGAATCCAAGCTGCCCCACCGCCTTCCTGACAGCTGTGGACTCCAGCCTCTGCACAGAGGGCCTGAGGGGGAGGAGCTTGAGTGGCTGACGCAGGGGCTTGGTTCCCACGGTGAGGGGCCCAGGAGCTGTGTCTCGCCCTCATCTTGCTTCTCCTGTGGCTCTTCTGAGTGAGATGGGGCTGACGGGGCGCTGACCTCCATCCCATTCTTCCCGTCTCGCTGTGTGTGGTCACCTCGATGGACCGGGGGCACAGGCATGGGACCAGCCAGGGGAAGGCTAGCAGGGCAGACCAGGTGGGGACCGTCCAGGGGAGGGAGTTTCCAGCAAAGGGAGGAGGTGGGAAGGGCTCGGCAAGGCTGCAAGGACCTCACCAGGAACAGGCCACGCCCCTCTCACGTGGGACACGGCTCAGTGGCAGTGAGGACCTGGGCTCTGGAAAGGTGGTGAGTGGAAGGCTCTGAGCCCAGGGAAGTGGGAGAGAGGACTTTTTTTTTTTCTTTTAATCTATTTTTACTGATTTCAGAGAGGAAAGGAGAGAGAGAGAGAAATAGAAACTTCAATGATGAGAGAGAATCAAGGATCAGCTGCGTCCTGCACGCCCCAACTGGGGATCGAGCCCGCAACCCAGGCATGGGCTCTTGACCAGAATTGAACCTGGAACCTTTCAGTCCACAGGCCGACGCTCTATCCACTGAGCCACACCAACCAGGGTGAGAAGTGAGGACATTGTGATGAGCATGCTCCCCAGCAGGACCCTGAGTGCTCAGGGCAGAGGCGGGCTGGCCGGGCGCCTGAGTGTCAGGGACAGGCGTCTCCACAGGCTCGGTGTCTCCTGTGAGCCCACAAGAGCCCGAGGGTGGGCTGCACAGGACGGGAGGCCCCTCACCGCTGGGGAGAGGTGGCGGGCCCAGGGCCGGTCAGGACGGAGTAGGACAGAGGGCCGTGGCACTGGAGGGAGGGAGAGGGAAGAGGGAGAAATCAGGAGAAAGTCTCTAAGAGAAAAACCCAGAAAGGAGCCCTTGAGCAGGTGCCGCAGGCCCACGGGGGCACCGGGCACCCACGCCCTGCACTCGCGGTTTCCTCTGTTAATCTCCTTCATCCCCACACCGTCTGGGACCCTGAGGGTCTTTGCACCCACTTCACAAATGGGGAGCACCTCCCTGCTGCTGGGCCCACACCCCCAGCCTCGGCCTCCTCCTGGTAATGAGTTCATCCCCCCCACCCCCCCACCTGCCCGCAGGTGGGCACTCCTTCTACCAGTGGGAGGGGCTGTCCGAAGACACCCTCAGGCTCCCGGGCAGAACACTCAGAGGGAAGAAGGGAAACAGACATGTGAAGGGGGGGAGGGCTGCCACCCTCTGGGGGTGACAGGCACTGTCCCACTTCACCCTATAAAGTGGGCATCAGACCCTCACCCACACTGTCCAGAGGAGCAGCCACCCAAAGCCACACCTGGTCAGTGATCCAGACACAGCCCACACTGAGATGCTGGGGTCTACGGCCAACGTGTGCCCCCCACAGGACGGTGGGTGGGGGAGAACTGGTCTTGGAGTGGGCGGGGCCTAGGGGGTGTGGCCCAGGTGCACCTGGGCAGGGAGGGCTGGCCAGCAGTGGAGAGTTGTCTGGGTCAGAACAGGCCAGAGCTTCCCCGGGGCCCACCCTGCTGCTGTGAGGACAGCAGAGGGCGGGGCCTCCAGGTGGACCCAGCACCCTCACACCTCAGGGTGGAGCCCTGCCCCAGTGGCTCAGGGAGCCACAAAGGAAGTGAGCTGTGTGTATGTGGGGGGTGCATTCACATTTGTGCATGTGCGTGTATGTGTGTGTGCACACGGGAGGGTGTGGTGTCCAGGTTGAGCCCCAGGCAGCCCGATGGGATGGGGGCTCCTGGAGGAAAACTCCCACATTTGCAATTCTGAGGGTTACACCGCTTCACCCCAGAGGCCGTGTCCCTGAAGGAGCCAGGGTGCCCGCTGGTAACCAGAGCATCCAAGGCCCCAGGTGCGCACCCAGGACTGCAGCAAACTCACCTGAGGGGCAGGTACAAGCGGGCCCAGGGCCCACAGGTTCTCCCTGGAGGCCAAGCAACAGGCCTGGGAGGGACGCGGGCCGGGCAGGGGCAGGACAGGAGGAGGGAACGAAGTCGGGGGTCCCCGGGGCTGACGGGGTTGCTGGGCTGGTCAGTCCCTTGGCCTGGAAAGGGAGAGGAGCCCACCCATACGTGCCCGGCTGGCAGGACACCAGGCGGAACGAGCCAGCTGGGCCTGAGTCCTCCGGCGGCAGCAGCTGTGACCAGCTTCTTTTCGTTTTTATGTTTTTATCGATTGTAGAGCAGGAGTGGGGGACATCCGGCCCACGGGCCACATAAGGCCCGGAAATGGTCTGCTCTGGCCCTGCCAAGGATGATTGTAGAGCAGGAGTGGGGGACATCCGGCCTAAGGCCCGGAAATGGTCTGCTCTGGCCCTGCCAAGGAGTAGGGGTGAGTTAGTTAAATGTTTGGCCTAATTGGTGAACAGGGGTCGGGGGACAGGTGATGGGCCGGAAGTGAGCACCTGAACAGGGGCGGGGCCACGTGATGGGCCGGAAGTGAGCACATGGGTAAGGGGGCGGGGCCACGTGAAACGAGGGGTCTCGAGAGGCAGGAGGCTGAGATTGAAGGGATGTGGCAGGAGCCCCCAGAAGCTGAAGAGGCAGGAAGGACCCTCCCTGGAGCCCTCCCAGGGAGCGCAGCCCCAGACGCCCCGATTTCAGATTCTGGCCCCAGAACGGGGAGAGCACGTGTTCCTGTTGGTTGAGGCCAGTTTGTTGTCATGGGAACAGCAGCCCCAGGAAATAGACCCTCCTGGCCCCTCCTGTTGGGGCTTTGACCGGGTTCTGGGAACAGCTGGGCCCTGTGCTCCGGCAGGGGGACCCC